CATACAGTTAACTTTCAAATTTGGATGACTAAAGCACTCGTCATGAGAGGATACGCAAAGTCTCAATACTTTCTAGAGAATGTATGTATATGGTTTAATTATAATAATTTAATACTCGGTTATAATATAAATAAAAAAAAATAGAGATAAAAAATAATATTGTCTCCATTTGTTTTTACAGCTTACACTCTTATTAACTCATGATGAAATAGGTCAATTTGTAGGTAAACAATATCAAATTTTAGTAAGTAAATCTGAAGATATTTTGATAACAGAAAATTTCTGTGATGTGAAAATTTTTTATAAACAAAGAGTGTTCGAATATTTATTACGACAAAATATTAATTTTACAAGCACAATGAGACAGAATTATCTTATTGCTTTGGTACATTTACTAGAACAAATGCCTGAAGAATTATTATTTTTGCATTTAACTGAGGTAAGTTTTCATGATGCATCAATGATAAAAATATTACCTTGCAATAAAAATATTTTGATTAATATATTATGTTGTTAGTTAGTACCGCTGTTGATTGAGTCTCTATCTCTTAGCAATGAATATTTAGTACTCTGGACATTGATGTCATTTAAACTATTACTTGACACTAAACACGATGTATTTTCTGATAATTTACAATGTGTTATACCAAGGCTTATGCAATTATCAACGCATCGAATCATGGTAATTATTTACATTAATTTTCACTTTTTTAACTTTCATTATATCATTATATAAATCAATACTTATATTCATAGGGTGTTAGAATTGCGATTTTAGAGTGCCTAACGCACTATGCTAACTATCCCACTATTCTAATCAATCCATACAAACAAACTGTATTAAACAAATTGGGGGTAATAATCGATGATCGTAAACGTTTAGTAAGAAAGGCTGCAGTGAATGCGAGAACACGATGGTACTTAGTGGGTGCATCTGGAGAACAGTCAAAGGAATGATATTGCAATTTGGTTTTGTATATGTACATATATTTTAGCGCCAAGACACTACCATGTTTCCTGAGAATGTGATTTTATAAATATTTTTTGCCTTTATATACATTCTGAAAAATGTAAATTTCTTATTATTAAATATTAACATAATATCTGTAAATTCGTATATGATTGTTTTTATTTACGTATCTAATCCGTAATATACTTTCCCGAACGTCTCCCAGGGTCTCTTTATGCCTGTTTATCCCAGATATCTTTCTTAATTGAATAAAGAATTGATTTTTGTAAGTGGATTAAAATCGCAGCTAACTTAAATGCGTTCAGTACAGTGCAGACATGAGCGACGGTAAGAATATATGATTGTAAAATTTACTTCATTTGTTTTAATATATAATTAGAATTCTCTTTTATTTATTTAATTGAAATATTATCATCATTTATCCATGAAACGTTAAGAAGAAAAGGCATTTTTTTTATTGAATAGAATAGAATATTTAATTTTCTTATTTTAAATACCTGCATACATGCATCTACAGGTGTGGCAAAGAATGGTGCATACAAATATGACGACGGAACAAAATACATTGGCGATTGGAATCGTAGGGGTCTAAAACACGGTGCTGGTTTATTAGTTCTTTCGGATGGAACGCGGTACGATGGAGGATTTCAAAATGGATTATGCTCCGGCTTGGGAGTGATTGTATTTTCCGACGGAGCAAAGTAAGTTTTATACAGCAAGTTTACTTCGAAATTACGCGTTTCACTCAGAATGTCGTCCCATATATATTTGTACAAGACCATTCTCTTTTTCTTAGGTATGAGGGAGAATTTATGCAAGGATGGTTTCACGGCCATGGTGTGTTCTGGCGAGCCGATGGAATGAAATTTGAAGGGGAATTTCGTGGAGGTCGTGTCTGGGGCTTAGGTGCATAATTAAGTTGATAATTTATTATTAATTACTTCATAGTTTTGCAAATAAAGCGCTGCAACTATTCTGACTATCGGACTAAGAGATACAAACATAATTTTTAATTATAATTCAAATGTTAATTATTGTTACATATTTTTTATTCATTAACCACAGGTTTAGTGACTTATGCTGATGGATCGCATGGATTTCCGAGAAATGAAGGTTTTTTTCAAGATTGCAGATTAGTAAGGCGACGACGTTGTCCTGATATAGTGCAGAAGGCGCAAAAAATTTCTATGATGGCACGTGCTCAATGTTGTTAGCAGAAATAGAATAAATTGTAGATGTATAACTAATAAAAAAGAGCATATAAAAAATTCATCAGTTCATATTTTTCTACAATTATTGATATTATTTTAATAACAATAAAATCTGTATTATATAATATTTGGATAAATTTTATTATTAATATTTTTTTATTTTATTATGTTGTATATTTAAATCTCTCTCTCTCTCTTCCCCATATTATTCACTAACAAATAAAATTTCTGAATGTCCAAAGTATATCAAGAATTCATACAGAATTGGAACAAGGAATGCAGATTTATCTTTATTTACGTAAAATTAAGATGCTGATAATGATCAATACCAGTTTCCTGAATACAGAATGAAATGTAATTGTAACGAGTTATGCCCCAAAAGAAAAAGTTTAAGAGGGAGCACAAGGCTAGACTACTTTCCGCTCAGAGGCGTGGCCAAGCCGGATGTTCCAGTTTTGAAGACGAAGGTGCGGCACAAATTGATGCATACAATTCGTACATATAATGTTTTAATATAACAATATATGAAAATTGAAATTTTATATTTGTAAATATTAAATTGAAAGCAAAACAAGAAAGCTATTCGTTCTCCATATTGCTTTGCTTTATTTCTTTTGCTTATATTTTATTTGCGAGAATATATAATATTTTGATATATATGTATATATAATTTTCTAAATATATAAATATGTGTGTATATATATATATATAAAATTCGCTTTAAGAATGTTTTATACATATTTTCAAAATGATAACGAAATTATGAAAAAAATTATAGATTATTCTAAATCACATTTAAAAATAATACAATAAATTTAGTGACGGTTTACTATCTAGATCATAAGTTATATATATTTTAATAAATAGTATTTTTTTAATCTGTACTCTAATAAAAATGCATGGAAAGGTATTATAAAATAAATGACAAAAATTTCAATTCTTTAATATAAATACATAATGTATATTCAAGATTATTTATGTACAGAGTTTCATTGCGATGCATGAACTAGTTGCCCAATAAATAAACAAAATATTTATTTTTTCTATACTTTGTAACTAATCAGTGAATCGCAATGAAACTGTATAAGTTATTTTGAATATTTAAAGAACTTAATAATAGAATATAAAAAAATTTAGATTTTTGTTATTAAAAAAATTTTAATTTTTAACAATAAAATTAATAACAAACAAAATAAATAAACGACAAAAATGTGTTATTAAATAAAAATGTAATCTTATTCACACAACTTTCATATGTAAATAGTTGAGGTGTAAGTATTAAACATATTTCCAAATTTAATTTGCTTTGCAGGGACTGTATGTGTGATACATCCTTAAGTCTTATAAAAAAATAAGAAAATTCAGAATTTTACTCCTTAGGACGAATTTTTCTGATTGAACGAATTTGATTACTGTGCATCCTTGAAATTGTTTAGGTCTTTTTTTACACTAAACCATGTGCAAACTGTGAATATCTTTAGAAGTTCAAGGCATTGTTATTAAATAATGAGATTTTATAAAATTTAAATATTGTTAGAAATAGAGATAGATAACTAATATTATTTCGCATGTTATAGATAAGAGAAAACATACCCATACATTTTAGGTACCTATAAATCATCGGAAGGGCATAATGATTCAACAGGGAGCAAGACGTTCGGAGGATGGCGCAATATTAAGAATATCCTTGACCCTATATCCCACCATGACGAACTGAGGGTACCGAAAGATTTCGTGTAGCTCGTCGTTTGTCCGCCAAGTATAAAAGTACCGATTGTCACGGATTGTAGCATTCGTATTTCGGTTCAGACACGATTGAAGTCATCGCAGGATCTTCCCCGCATAACATAATGGCAGCTAAGGTATGTACAATCAATTATAATGAATAAGATTTTATCTAATACAGGAAACATATTTATAAGAATAAATCTGTGCTCTTAAAGTTTTAAGTCATTACTGAAAATTCTATTTTAGCTATTCGTAATCGTCTGCGTTTTGGCTGTGGCTAACGCCGGCTATATCGGACTGCCTTCCGCCCTGCAGTATCATATCGAGCCGATAGCGCACGTTCAACCCGCCATCACGTCGACGTCCGACAATATATTACGTAGCCATGGTAATCTGGCGCAAGTGGCCACGCAAACGAAAACCATCGACACACCTTTCTCTAGTTCGAGCAAGGCCGATATCCGTGTAACTAATCCTGCTGTCACTACCTATGCTCATTTTGCTCATCCAGCCCCGTTGACTTACGCTGCAGCCGCTGTACCAGCGGCTGGGGGGGGGGGGGGAGCTTACTCGCCGGCCGTTGAGGTATCTCATATGAGCTACAGCAGCCCGATCGGAATTGCCTATGCTTACTAAATCACATCCATATCACGCGACTTTATATGATATAATATACATATATTTATTCGAAAATCCTGGATACTTGTAACTATATACTTCTGTACGTGGCAAACTAATGACACTACGATGTAAGTAGTTACGCAATAAAAATCTATAATCTATAATCAAAGCTTCATTTTTCAATCCATGAGTCTATTCGTTTCTTAAGAGATTGAATTATAACTACGAATCACAAGATGTGTGGCAGAAGTTACTCTATCGTACGTGTTACGCATATCATTTTATTTTAAGAAGAGTTTAATTTGTAAGAAAGATGTTGGGGGTAAAATGCTTTTTGAAAGAACAACATTCAAGTTTTTTTTATGTGAAATTTTATTATTATTTCATATTTTTTTTTGTCGCGGCACTTATCAATAATTTATCAACAATTTCAAGTGGGACGGAGGAAAAATGTTCTAATAGAAAAAGGAAAGAATTTTGCGAATATTGACTTCAGGGAGAATTGCGAAATGCATCAACAAATTTGTATGTATCTGATATTAAAGGCAAGGTACATTTTGCGATGTGTAGTTATTGGTGGGATAGTGGCGGGTTTTTTATCAGTGTAAAAAAGATTTAGCCTAACTTAAGTCCTAATCCAAGGGGAGCGGCACCCCAGCTCCCCTTACCCCATCCAGCACCACCCCATCCAGCATCACCCCATCCAGCACCACCCCATCCGGCACCACCCCATCCAGCGGCAGGAGCCCACGCAGCTGAAACAGATTTAGCGAATGTTAGATTATTATAAGTAGACAGACGAAAAAAATGGAAAAAAATAATTCGCATCCTCTAACGACCATTTATCCATAATAATGGTAATTTATTCGTAATAATGGTAGCTTTAAGACTACCATTCGTATATGTGATACACATGATTTTGGTGGTTCCAAAATCGTTAATGTACAGGATATTAACTTTCTTAGTCTTATATATCATGTGAAATAACAATTATCTATACCTTTGGCGCCGGCACCACCCCATCCGGCACCACCCCATCCGGCACCACCCCATCCAGCGGCAGGAGCCCACGCAGCTGAAACAGATTTAGCGAATGTTAGATTATTATAAGTAGACAGACGAAAAAAATGGAAAAAAATAATTCGCATCCTCTAACGACCATTTATCCATAATAATGGTAATTTATTCGTAATAATGGTAGCTTTAAGACTACCATTCGTATATGTGATACACATGATTTTGGTGGTTCCAAAATCGTTAATGTACAGGATATTAACTTTCTTAGTCTTATATATCATGTGAAATAACAATTATCTATACCTTTGGCGCCGGCACCACCCCATCCAGCACCCCCCCATCCGGCACCACCCCATCCAGCGGCAGGAGCCCACGCAGCTGAAACAGATTTAGCGAATGTTAGATTATTATAAGTAGACAGACGAAAAAAATGGAAAAAAATAATTCGCATCCTCTAACGACCATTTATCCATAATAATGGTAATTTATTCGTAATAATGGTAGCTTTAAGACTACCATTCGTATATGTGATACACATGATTTTGGTGGTTCCAAAATCGTTAATGTACAGGATATTAACTTTCTTAGTCTTATATATCATGTGAAATAACAATTATCTATACCTTTGGCGCCGGCACCACCCCATCCAGCACCCCCCCATCCGGCACCACCCCATCCAGCGGCAGGAGCCCACGCAGCTGAAACAGATTTAGCGAATGTTAGATTATTATAAGTAGACAGACGAAAAAAATGGAAAAAAATAATTCGCATCCTCTAACGACCATTTATCCATAATAATGGTAATTTATTCGTAATAATGGTAGCTTTAAGACTACCATTCGTATATGTGATACACATGATTTTGGTGGTTCCAAAATCGTTAATGTACAGGATATTAACTTTCTTAGTCTTATATATCATGTGAAATAACAATTATCTATACCTTTGGCGCCGGCACCACCCCATCCAGCACCCCCCCATCCGGCACCACCCCATCCAGCGGCAGGAGCCCACGCAGCTGAAACAGATTTAGCGAATGTTAGATTATTATAAGTAGACAGACGAAAAAAATGGAAAAAAATAATTCGCATCCTCTAACGACCATTTATCCATAATAATGGTAATTTATTCGTAATAATGGTAGCTTTAAGACTACCATTCGTATATGTGATACACATGATTTTGGTGGTTCCAAAATCGTTAATGTACAGGATATTAACTTTCTTAGTCTTATATATCATGTGAAATAACAATTATCTATACCTTTGGCGCCGGCACCACCCCATCCAGCACCCCCCCATCCGGCACCACCCCATCCAGCGGCAGGAGCCCACGCAGCTGAAACAGATTTAGCGAATGTTAGATTATTATAAGTAGACAGACGAAAAAAATGGAAAAAAATAATTCGCATCCTCTAACGACCATTTATCCATAATAATGGTAATTTATTCGTAATAATGGTAGCTTTAAGACTACCATTCGTATATGTGATACACATGATTTTGGTGGTTCCAAAATCGTTAATGTACAGGATATTAACTTTCTTAGTCTTATATATCATGTGAAATAACAATTATCTATACCTTTGGCGCCGGCACCACCCCATCCAGCACCCCCCCATCCGGCACCACCCCATCCAGCGGCAGGAGCCCACGCAGCTGAAACAGATTTAGCGAATGTTAGATTATTATAAGTAGACAGACGAAAAAAATGGAAAAAAATAATTCGCATCCTCTAACGACCATTTATCCATAATAATGGTAATTTATTCGTAATAATGGTAGCTTTAAGACTACCATTCGTATATGTGATACACATGATTTTGGTGGTTCCAAAATCGTTAATGTACAGGATATTAACTTTCTTAGTCTTATATATCATGTGAAATAACAATTATCTATACCTTTGGCGCCGGCACCACCCCATCCAGCACCCCCCCATCCGGCACCACCCCATCCAGCGGCAGGAGCCCACGCAGCTGAAACAGATTTAGCGAATGTTAGATTATTATAAGTAGACAGACGAAAAAAATGGAAAAAAATAATTCGCATCCTCTAACGACCATTTATCCATAATAATGGTAATTTATTCGTAATAATGGTAGCTTTAAGACTACCATTCGTATATGTGATACACATGATTTTGGTGGTTCCAAAATCGTTAATGTACAGGATATTAACTTTCTTAGTCTTATATATCATGTGAAATAACAATTATCTATACCTTTGGCGCCGGCACCACCCCATCCAGCACCCCCCCATCCGGCACCACCCCATCCAGCGGCAGGAGCCCACGCAGCTGAAACAGATTTAGCGAATGTTAGATTATTATAAGTAGACAGACGAAAAAAATGGAAAAAAATAATTCGCATCCTCTAACGACCATTTATCCATAATAATGGTAATTTATTCGTAATAATGGTAGCTTTAAGACTACCATTCGTATATGTGATACACATGATTTTGGTGGTTCCAAAATCGTTAATGTACAGGATATTAACTTTCTTAGTCTTATATATCATGTGAAATAACAATTATCTATACCTTTGGCGCCGGCACCACCCCATCCAGCACCCCCCCATCCGGCACCACCCCATCCAGCGGCAGGAGCCCACGCAGCTGAAACAGATTTAGCGAATGTTAGATTATTATAAGTAGACAGACGAAAAAAATGGAAAAAAATAATTCGCATCCTCTAACGACCATTTATCCATAATAATGGTAATTTATTCGTAATAATGGTAGCTTTAAGACTACCATTCGTATATGTGATACACATGATTTTGGTGGTTCCAAAATCGTTAATGTACAGGATATTAACTTTCTTAGTCTTATATATCATGTGAAATAACAATTATCTATACCTTTGGCGCCGGCACCACCCCATCCGGCACCACCCCATCCGGCACCACCCCATCCAGCGGCAGGAGCCCACGCAGCTGAAACAGAGCGAATTAGCGAATGTTAGATTATTATAAGTAGACAGACGAAAAAAATGGAAAAAAATAGTTCGCATCCTCTAACGACCATTTATCCATAATAATGGTAATTTATTCGTAATAATGGTAGCTTTAAGACTACCATTCGTATATGTGATACACATAATTTTGGTGGTTCCAAAATCGTAAATGTACAGGATATTAATTTTCTTAATCTTATATATCATGTGAAATAACAATTATCCATACCTTTGGCGGGAGCGATAGCAATTGCAGCTGGTGCGGCAATCAAGCCGGCATAGCAGATATTTACGACAGCCAAGAGGCCGAACACCACCAAGAGCTGCAAGATTTAATAACGCTTATTTATTTTAATTAATTAAAAATTTCGGGATATTATATCTTATTTATTGAAATATTAACTGGCCATTTAAATTCTTTTCAGATTACATTATCGTGTCCAATTTCTCTCAAAATAAAAATATTATTAAATAGTTTTATATATATATATGTTGATAATCGCGTTCTGTGTTCTATGAAATTATAACGTTTAATAATCGTGTAGTGTATGAGTTATACACTTTTCTTACAATTAATACAAGTATTGTAATTTTAGAAAAGTGTAATAATCTGTAATCTTCATTTGAAGCCTCATTATATATAATATTTTTATCAATTTCTATAAATTAATGAATTTGAAAATCATGCAAATAATAATAATTAAAATTGTTTGTTTTGAAGGCACTTACTTTGAACATGATGATCGTTTTTCTATTTCTCGTTGAAACACAAGGAACGATTGAATGCTCTGTTTAAATCTAACAGTCTATTTATACGTGCTAAAGAAAACCTGTCCAGTGTGCGTGGTGCATTTTTTCCAAAAACTTCTTGTTGTACATGTACGAATGCCACTGTTCAGAGTAAGGTGTTATTGCGTCATATAGTTATAAAATTTTATATCTTGTTAAGCTATGAATATATTTTACGCCTTCAATGACTAGGCGGGTTAAGGTTCTAATATTGTTTTCCTGCTACAATCCCAGATAGTCAAGTCTGTAGAAAGCAGATTTTTTAAATGTCTGCTACACCCTATGTCAACAAAATAGCAACAGAATTGTTACAAAATTAGATACATAATATTGTTGACAGACTGCTAGAAAAAAACATAATAGAATCTCTCAGATAATGTCGGCAGGATTTGCTCAGTTTCTGTCAACAATTTGCCTTCACATTATATCGATGTTAAGGCGATGTTAACAGAACATCATGCATCATAAATGATGCATCATGCGCTTCATGCGTAACTCGGAACGCACCTCCAAAATATTTATGAAAATATTTATTAATATTTATTTTTTGAAATGTTATATAGATATTTCATACATATTTTATATAAAGCTTTATTCGAAATATTATTAAAATATAGACCAAATATTTTATGTAATATATATGATAAATATAAATAAATATTTCTAAAAAGTATTTTTTACTTGGATTATAATGTATTATTATTTTCACAGCATTTTACTATAACATTTACAATGAATATTGCATATTATTTATAATAAATTTTTTATGATCTGTGCAATCTAAGAGACCACAAAAATATTTACAAATATTTAAAATAAATCTTACAAACATTTATAAACATTTTGTAAATATTTTATAAATATTGTGTGCTGTCTGGGAATTGTTGTCATTTTCTGCTCGAATCTGCTGACAGTTTGTTAGAAGACTGCAAACATTTTGTTATCTGGGATCGTGTGCAATTATGACGTTCGAAGCGCAAAATCGTGTGAATTTTTGTCTTACATGTATGTGTAACCCAGCAAACAAGCTGACGTTATTTATCGTCATTTTGACGTCAAAATGACGATAAATAACGTCAGCTTGTTTGCTGAAAATATACGTGAAAATATCTTTTTTATATACCAACATTTGCATTTCATAGTACAGATTACTGAAAAGTGAAAACGTAAAAAATTATAATGGAATTGCAAGTAAATTATGTATTTTTGAAGATTGTTTTTGAATTCTCGAGAATGCTCGTATGATCGATTCATTCATTTGTTATTAAGTTCTACGTCCGTTTATACTTTTTTACGCTCCGTCACTTTATAAACATATAAGCAATTCTTTCTACAGTTTTCAAACAATGCTTTGTATTCATTTTTATAATCAGCAAATAATTCTGTGTGTGTGTGTGTGTGTGTGTGTGTGTGTGTGTGTGTAACAGTATAACTCTTAAAATAATAAAAAAAATATAAGAAGTAAAAGAAATTCATAATGCAATATCGAGTATCAATAAATGTGAATTCTATTTCATATCATGCTTACTTACACTTACATACTAAAGCATAAACATACCTATAACTTGATTTCTCATGTCACTTTTAAATTTATATGTAATGTTGTGTATATCTCGTGCTTCGCATATGAATATTGCATGAATATTGCTGTAATCACGTGGACTACAGTGGGCACCAATCTCCTCATTTACGATTGTCTGATGCAAGCTTACGTCAAGTTGCACAGGAGCTGTCTCTTTATTGACGTACATTATAGGGGCAACTTATATGTTTAGTTGATTTTCTTTAGTAATTGCTTGCATGTGCAAAGAAGCACGTTACAAGATACCCCTCTTAAATTTCAAATTATTTTAAAAAATAATATTATAACTTGTGATCTCCTAAAATCCAAAAAATATCTTCTCGTACAAATTTCCGTGAATTTTTGGAAGTACCGGTTATAAATAAAACTGCCTCCAGTATACGTGTGAAAGAATTGTTTATCATTAAAGAATATGCAAAAGTTAATAAAACGTTTAAAATTTTAATTTCAAAAGACGAAATTGTATTCTTCAAAATTAAACAGCCAATTATTTCTATCACAATTTTAGAAACAAAAAATGGCAGCACGAAATTTATGTAAAAATATTCAGTAATTTTTGTTATGCAAACATCTTTTTAATTCTTGGTTTATAGCGTAGCGCTTCAGTTTTGATCGATCAATCACTGCTGCTGAGCGAACAATGATGTTGCATACGACCTTTGATTTTGTGAAGAAAGTAACGACTGACTTCCATAACTTTTAAGAGCGGTAACTTGCGTAATTCATGACCTTGCACAAGATACATTTGAACCATGCTCCTATAAAAAAAACGGTGAAGGTGACCTACATATGTGTGTCTGTACGATATAATGAGGCTGAGGATTGGAATTGGACCACGCCCTTTTATCATATTAATTTCATATACATAAATTAATAAGAATTTTATCAAATTTATTTAATAATGTTTATAATTTATATTTATATCAATTATAAAATTTGATCTAAAAACATTTACGAGGGTGGTAGAATTTATATATATATATATATATATATATATGTAGTATTTACTAATTGCTATTCAGTTAATATAAACCTATAAATTAATCTGAACAAAAATAAGAAGAAATAAAACACGATTTCTGTTTCAAAATGTACATGTAATTCCTTATTACAAAAATATCAGATTTGTATTAAAATGAAAGATAAATACATTTTTTTAAACTTATTTTAACTATTAATTTGTAGATTTCACTGTTTGTTTTACAGTTTCTATATCAAGTTCATATTATAATTTATTAATTATATTTTATAAATTGAGACATACAAAAAAGGAATAAGGCAGTAAGTTTCTACAAAAATTCCATGTAGATTCATGTAGGCCAAGAAAGATCAAAATTAATATATGCTTGCTTAATTCATAAAATAAAATGGAAATTAAATAATATATTTATTAACACAAAATTCATGGAATTTATAATTTTTGTAATTAAAAAATGAGATAATATAGTTATCAATATAACATATAATAAAGTATAAATTTAATTCTAATATACCTTAATAATCTTTATTAACATTTTACACATTGTTGTGTACATTTAATTGCAATTGTAACATGTATGTATTTAATATTTGTTAAATACATATATTTTTCTATAATACAGCTTTTACAAATAATTTTCTCTAATCTAAGGTTTCCTCTTTCAAGACAATCATTTCTTCTAAATTATCCTGCTGTGTTTTTCTTTAGTATTTACACTTACTGATCAGATTAGAGTAACAAAAGGAATGAAAGACAGAACACATAATATTGTCATTTTATAAATTAGAATAAAAACAAGAATTTACGAAAGATCTTAAAAATACAATTAACATTCGATTCTGATAGTCATAAAATAAAGAAAATTAACTGTATTTGCTGCAGAAAGAATATTCATAATACATACATATCTGAGATGTCAAGATAAACAAATATATCCCTATTCCACGATATACATCCTTTTTTCTCAAGACAAAATTGATTTAATATATCAATTATATTATATCTTTTCAATTATTCTTTTGTGGTCTGTCACCAAAAATGGCACTTCCTACTCTTACATTTGTACTGCCAAGTTCAATCTACAATAGAAAATAATAGATGCATTTTGTATAAGAACATAAACCCTATATATATATATATATTTTAGTACACTGTTCACAATATTATCCAAACTTTACCGCATGTTCATAATCATTGGACATTCCCATTGATAATTCAATATCTTTTGTATCAATTCCCAATTCGTCATGTATCTTTTCTCTGCACTTTAGTAAACAAATAAAATCAGGATTGGCTCCATTCTTAATATCATATCCATACATTCCTATTGTCATAAGACCTATAAATTTCAAATTAGAACAATTCTCTACGACATGCTTTACAAGGGTTGATACCTGTGCAATGTCGCAACCATTTTTTTCTGTAATTATAATTATTTTTATAAGGATAATCCAAAATTTGTGAGCTGAAAATTATTTTATCTAATATAATCTTCTCACATAAAATATAATAATTCATTACCCTTTTCCTGACTTGTGTTAATTTGTACCATGACATTTAATTTGCTGTCATTGCTCTTTCGAAATCTTGGCCACGAATTATTGAGCGCATTTGCAAGTCTGTCGCTATCGACAGTTTCTATGATATATAAATTTGGTATACTTATAACTTTGTTGACTTTATTCCTTTGTAAATTGCCTATAAAGTGCCATCGAATTTGTTTGCATTTTTCAAGAATCAGTGGACTGAAGGCCTTCTCCACTAATTCATTTACATAATTTTCACCGAAATTTCTTTGACCAGCCTCGTATGCAGATACTATTGAGACAGTAGATTGCAATTTGCTAACAGCTACCAGTCGCGGTTCATAATATTGATACTCCTGCGAGAACGAGATAAATATTTTGATCCATGGGAGCTAACCTTTGCATTAACGTTCGAAACGCAACGTTTTCTATTTAAAAAATGCACTAAATAGTTATATATACATAAATTTATATATTTAATTAATACAGAAAAGAATACCGATGCTCTCTTCGTGGCAGCATATGATATCTTGTCGCAAACAGATTTCAAATTTGCTGCCACTTCTGCCATACTGTGTTTAAATATTGCCATAAATTGTTTCTTGATCAGTAATTGAGGGTATCTTTTCACTTATCTAAGATAATAAAATTATTTTCTTTCTCTTTAATATGGATATATCTCTCCCTTTCCATTTGTGTTTTCCGTACTTTTAATTGTCTCACGTGTTTGAAGCTTATTCTACAATGTGCTTTTTGTTTCCTGTTTCTTATTTTTTGTCTCTTACCTTTTTGACCAAAAGGCAAAAGACAGACAGAGACAAACCGTAAGAAACAAGAAACAAAGAGCACATTGTAGAATGGCTATAAAGCACAGTAAACATTACGTAATCGAATTTTGATAAATTTTGGAACGCAATTGCAATAATCAGGTTAAATTCCTAGTATCGTACTCTTTATTCCCTAGTGTTCACTAGAGGTTTGTTCGCGTCGCAAGCTCCAACATGTTCCAATATGCTCCTACTGTAGCTCTAACTCGCTCCAACGCGCTTGATAGAGTGAGTAGGAGCTATGGTAGGAGCACGTTGGAGCATATTGTAGCTTGCGACGCGAGCAAACCTTAAGGCCATCACAGGTACAAAAATTTTAGTCATAATCGTAAGCAAATCGGCCAATCACAGTCGAGCGTTTAAAACGCGAGATCTTAATTTTGATTGTGATTGGTCGATTTGCTTGCGATCTCACGATTACGACTAAATTTTTGTACGTGCGATGGCCTTTAGGTTCGCTGCGATTGTGCGCATGCGTCATCAGTAGCGATTTGTCAGCCATTATGATCAACATGGCGTAATCTTATTATTATCATCAATATTGCGTTTATGCGTTGCTATTTCTGTAAAAGTGGCAGGTTATAATTATGAAGATTATCATTAATATTTTATCCACAAACATTAACAAGAAAGTGAGTATTGATTCATCTCACATATCTATTTTTATTGTATATTAATAATAGATTTTTATTTTTTTCCATATCCTAAACAATTGCGAACTTGCAGATTAATCGAACGGTAACTTGGTCGAAATTCTAAAGATTGAATTGCTGCTACTAATTTCTTGTATTATACAACTGTACAAACAATAGCACGTATACCTGTACCGATCTTGTGAGAGATAAGATGGATAACAAAGCATCATCTTTTGGCATGTCATTTTGTGCATTCGTGTATCAGCAGACATGGTAGTGTCTGCGCTAAGAGCACGCGTAATTATTAATTAACATAAAGAATTCAAGCTTGTTATTTGGTTTATAAAATTGCACGAAGATGGGTACTTCAAGGCAGCAGGACAGATCTCTTGGTAGTGGAATTTCATTGCCACAATGGATGAAAGGAAAAATGGATAATAGGTAGGTTCTATCTCTAATAAATTTTATCATTGAACACATTTTATGGAGATATTTTTATAACGATCGTATATCCAAATGATTAGTATAATTACTAGCTATGACATCAGGATGTTTGAAGTTGTTATTGCATTATGTGCATGTATTTGATACTTTGCCAAGTTGGTTTATGTGTTATTTATAGTTAAGCAGTGTTTGCATATATTCTTTCTGTTGGATAAAGTGTTTCTTATAAAACTATACAGGTATTATTGTTTTACACAAAATATCATATGAATGAGATAAATTCATTTTGTTGACAATTATCTGAGGTACTTGTGTTAATAAGTATTAATTAATTAGTATATGTCAATCTTAATATTTATTGTTTTGTGTTAATGTAAAAGCTGTGGCTTGATATGATTTTGCTAGATTACATGTGATCTAGTAAATTACTAAAAATTCTATGTTTTGGGACATGTTCAGATTCTTATCTTGAGTGCTCTCCAGGGCTGCATTTTTTTGGCGCTTAAGCCGGCGGCTTGTTTTCTTGCTGGATTGCTAGCTAGAATAAATTCTTGCCACCGTATTGGCTACGATACTGACACTATCAGTACCGCGGCCAATACGATGGTAAGATTCTAATCTAGCTAGGAATCCAGCAGGAAAACAAACATCGTGTGCGGCAGGCTTAACAGTGCTTGTGAGCATCAATTGTCCTTGTTTAATATTTAATAAATAACTAGGATGAAACGATGCTTGAATCGTGAGCGCCAAAGCGAACACAATCCAGGTATCATTTTATCCTTGTTTAGCATTTAGTGAATAAGGCTAATATTTCATTTCTCTTATGATAAATTTCGTGTTTTAATTGGCCATAAGATAGAGGATTTCTAGAAACTTAAAAATTTCTCTATTCCGCAGCCAATCAACATTCTTGAAAAATTTGCCGTATAACAAATAGAATATTAGCCCAAGAGTGCTATTACATTTGTGCGTTTTTTTCGAACAACAAATTTTTTAAGCTTATCGATGTATTTTTTAATCCTGTTGGTTATAAGATAGAGATATCCGAGAACCTATCTATTCTGCAGCCATTTGTCATATGACAAAACGCACAAATAAAATCCTACCCTAACAAAGATAAAATAATATCTGAGTGACACTCGAGTGGGAATCTGAATATAGTCCTATGTGTTGATTTTAGTAATTATATAATACTAGATTACATGTGACCTAGTATAAAAAATCGCATCATGTGCTACAGGCATAATATACTTTTTTTAGATTTGACTTTGACGAAGCCGCATTCAGTCCACCATCTTATGACGATAGTTTCTTTTACGTAAGATATCCAAGATCGCAAAATACTCAACCACAACATGGATTAAAGCACATTGTAACTGAAGTTTTAAATGAAAATATTGCGAGTTCTACAAATCAGATAACAAATGAAAAATCCATTTCTGACTTGAAAGAGGTTAAGCAGATTGATTTTAGCAAACATCCGTTGCCATGTCAACCGTTTATACCGGTTGTAAATAATACAGGTATATTATCAAAAATTTTGTTTTTTTGAAATATGTGAAATACTGACTAATGATTCCTGCACACTGGATGCGGAAACGCTTGCCGCGTGACAAAATGTGACGCGTAGTCAATAAGCTTACAACTCCTAACATGTTCATTGGTTACCGCGTTGCATTTTGCCGCGCGGTAAACATTTCCGCGTCCAGTGTGCAGGAGCCATAACAATATTATCATTGGCCGTGTTCAGCAGAACGTTTATTTTACAACTATTGAAAGTTTTCTTCACCTTGATTGAATAATACTTTTAGATCTAACTTGCAATAATTATAAAATAAATTTTCTTTGATATTGTCATGATATATATTATTTTAGCTGGTGGTATTAGAGTATATAAAGCTCCAACGAGTGGAAATGTAAAACCTAAATCACAGGGGACGGATGATGGTTTTCATGGTGAACCGGCTCTTTGTGGCAAATCAATCGTTCATGTAGCTAGTCAAATGATGTCTGGTAAATTCACCAAAGTATTCACATCGGATTCACGTTCTCAGCAGACAGAGAACTCGGTAAAAAGTGTCAGCAAATCGTTACCAGCGACACCACTGACGTCACCAACAGGATCTCCAGATAGTTCGCCGAAAGCACGCAGGAAGATACATAATCGATACTTTACTGGTGCGTTTGTACCGGATAAAGAAAAATATCAGGGTAATTGGATTTTGGCAGGCATATTAGGTCAATCCAGGGAAGTAATTACAGCAAAGATAGACGAGGAGGATGAACTCTTTCCAGACATGGAGCCACGCAAGCCACTTAATCGAAAAAAATCGATATCGTCTCAAAATCTTACATATATAGGGAGAGAAGAAAAATCGGCGGATAAGTCATCTGTTTACGTAAACGTGCTCGAAGCTAAACCATCAGAACTAAGAGAGATGAATTTTTGGTCTCCGACTTCCATGTGAAGTTTTATATTTTGTTTAATTTTAGCTATTATTAGTTTTTATCATGCTTCTACCAAAGCATATTTAGATGAATTTAGTTTAATTCCAAGTTATTAATGCACATAGTAAATTTAGCTCATCATAATACTAACTTGACAACATTTCACGTGAGATTGATGTATCATTATATATTTTAATTGAATTCCTACGCGTTTGTAATCTTTTAAAAACGACAGCTAGCACTATTTGACTATTTAAAACACTACAGAATTGTGTTATAATTGTATTTAAAAGATGTCGCCTTCTCTATTTCTTTCTATTATTAAACATGAGAGAGAAGTATATGTTAAAAAAAATTCTCTATATTATATATTCGTATTACATAAGTATTATATTTGTGTACTTGTGTTATCCATGCTTATACTCTCAAAAATGCTTTGAGGATTGAAAATGCAATACGGTCTGTTAATTAACTTATCTATTCACGAATATCGATATATTGTAATTAATAATTACTTATTCTCCGTGCGTTACATATAAATTGTGGTATAACTAAAATGCATCAAATGTATCAAATCTTGTAAAGCCAAGAGATGCATTTAAATGATATCCAATGCTCTGTATTGTAAAATGTGATACAATGACCTTGAAACTAGGGATACTATGAAATATATGTTATATTGTACTTAAAACTATTATAAATTCCACTACTATAAATTTGCACGAAGAGTACCGTTGATTAAAGATAGATTTTTATCAAGCACAGATGAGTTATATATGAATAAATACAGCCTATGCAAATTGAATTTATGTCAATAAAAAAATAAAATAACATTTTAGACACATATTTCTCATTATTATTTCAATAAACACTCGTGCATGGATGCAATTAAACTATTATTGGATGATATTTAAATATCATTCAAATCTTAATGATTATGATCAGATCTTATATTAGATTAATCTTAAAATGATCAGATAAATATTTATAAATAAAATTATTAACGTTCAACAATAAGAAATAAAAGTAATGACCATAACGATCAAAATAAAATCTTTAAAAGCCGCAGCACAGACTTTTCCTCTCATTCCATGGAAAAGAAGAATTTCGATTTGTTAATTCCCTTATGCACTATGCGTTATGCAAGAGTCTGTGCTACAGCCATAATGGCCATTCTACAATAAGCCATTAGTCATAAATTAGAAGTTAGAAGCAGGAAATTGACCAATCACAGTCTTCAATTTTCAGCTTCTAACTTCTGATTTATGATTAATGGCTTATTATAGAATAGCCATAATGCTTAAATAATTCAATCTGAATTACTATATAATATATAGTAATTATATATATATTATACTATACATATGTATGCACATGCACCATATACCATATTTGTAGTCATTCGAACTGCGCGCCAAATTGGTCTTTCGGACTTATAAACGCAATTAAACTACTAGTAATATCACGAATTAAATTGACAAGCAATTTTTAATAATTTGATGCTCAAGACACTTTAGATATTTTAAATCAGGCGATAAGTTATTAAAGACTTTAGAGATTAATTATTTATTTGATGTTGATTC